ATGTAGAGAAGTAGCAGCTCTAGTAGAAAATGGTAGTGGTAGAAGTAAGAAAAGTTGAAGAGAGTGCCTTTCATAATGTATGAATGAGCTTTAGTTACAAAAAAATGCTCTAGATTGTTTATATTAGAAAAACAGCATGAAAGAGGAAGGCTAAAGCCTAATGATGATGAAGATGATGATGATGATGATGATGATGATCATAATGATAATGATGATGATAATCATCATGATGATGATCATGATAATGACGATCATGATGATCATCATCATCAGATTTTAGCCTTTCTCTTTTATGCTGTTGATGATGATGGTAATGATCGTGATGATGATGTTAATGATGGTGATGATAATGATGATCATGATGATGATCATATTGATATGATATTTATATATGCATATATACAAAATATATCATGATTTTTGAATAAAAAATATATACTTTAGAATGTATAAATGTTTATGCAGTCCCGGTGACAAACCAGCCCCGGCTATCTTTTATCAAAACCAGTCAAATATCACCCTGGTTACTTACTCTATATATATATATATATATATATATATATATATATATATATATATATATATATATATATATATATATATATATATATATATATATATATATATATATATATATATATATATATATATATATATATATATATTATATATATATATATATATATATATATATATATATATATATATATATATATATATATATATATATATATATATATATATATATATATATCATAGCAATCTGACGTCATACTGAAATAGCCTGCAATTGTTTTATTCATCATTCTTCATTTTTTCTTCTTCTTTTTCGAAAAAAACAGTATAGCTTAAGGTAAGCAGAAAAAGTGAGCAAATGCTTATCAAAACACGCTTTAGTAAGTGTATATATATATATACATATATATATATATATATATATATATATATATATATATATATATATATATATATATATTATATATATATATATATATATATATATATATATATATATATATATATATATATATATTCTTTACCTATAGTTATATTGAGCTAAGTATACAACTTTAATTGCATGCAAGGGTTAACAAAAAATGATATACCTAGTATATAAATATAATCACATGACCTAAAAAATGATACAATAATCTACCATTACTTAATCAAATACCAAGGTAATGGTAATGTATGATAATATATGATATTTACCTTGTATATAAATAAATAAATCAAATAATCTGTAACAACCATAAGTTCTATTAAAATCTGAACTATAAAACCTATGAGCATTTATGACCGATAACCAATTCAGTAACCAACCTACTTATTTTTTCATAACTTATAGTAAAATTAGAAATGCTGAGCCATAAATATAAAGTTCTAAAAACTCTAACAACTGTGCAATTGCATAATTTTAAACTTAAATATTTTCAAAAATTCACTGTAACTTTTTTTTAAAAAAAAACTGTTAAAATTTTAAAATAATTGTATTACCTTTATTTTTTTAAACATATTTTCCCTTAATCACAATTATTTTACTAATAGCCTAAAAAGACAAATTTAATTTTATTATATTTAAACAAGTGATTTGTTATATAAAACAAATAACTTTTCTCCTACATAAAAAAAATTCAGACAGCTACTTGTCATCTATACTCACATTTTTATGTGGTTTTACTAAAATATTGTGAAATGTTTTAGTAATACCATATATAGCATAATACCATAAATATTTGTGAAATATTTTATTTTTCTTAATATTTAATATTTATGTATTCCTTAACATAAGCATTGTAAAACAAAACTATTTTATAAGGATCACAAACACATCTAAATACATTTGTTAGACTAATGTAATGCACACTCCCACGGGTAAAAAAACTAATCATGTAAGGTTTTGCATTTTATAGTAGGATTTCGTATTAGACCTGAAAAATAAACCAAAAAAATAATTTTTTATTACAATGCTTAATTTTCTCATTCTGATTAAAATAATTTATATTGATTTGAACTTAATTTATCAAAAACTTGATTTACTTAAAAATCAGTTATAACTCATACACTGAAAAATGCCTAGATACACAGAGGAAAAAGTCAGACATTTTTATTTTTTATTAATTAGGATACGAGTTTACGAAAAACAAAAAGAACAACATAATATTAAAAAATGTAAATAGAAACGAATGTTGTTCAGGTTGGAAATTTGAATACTAATTTAGGCATCAATCTAATCATATCAAAACCTTTTTCTTAAAGTACTAATACATCAAAATTGTTACAAAAATTAAATAAAAATGAATATGAAAATTAGGAGTTTTTAATTTGATAAAAAAGAGATTTAAAACCACTGTGCTATTAAACATTTTTCTAAATATACTTTTACTGTGTCAAACGCTCATTCAACTGATTATTTGCATTGTTTATTGATTTTTGATTCAACGGGATAATAGTTGTTACGTAAAGTACGGTTATACAATAAAGATTAAAACAAATTTAAAGCTTCAGCAATCAATGCAATCTATGCAATGCTAATAATAGTTAAGTAAAAGAAATTGTTAATTACCCTTAATTAACCATTTTTATTGTTTCCATTTGAATTATTTTATTTGTGTAATAAGTTTATTTGTGTGTTTTTAAATGCTTATGTATAGGGTTACCTGCTGTTCTGTTTTTGCATAAGAATGCGCAGTGAAAATCTTTTTGGATTTTAACAGGCTTAGCACTGCGCGCTCCCACGTAAAAACTGGTATTTTGAACACTAAATGGGCATGTATGTATATACACATTTTGTGTTCTATTTGGGTCAGCAAATTGACTTTAATTTTAACTATCAAAATAGTTAGGTTAAAGAAATGTTTACTTACACTTAACCAGCTATGCTTATTGTTTCTAAATGAATTACTTTATTTTGCGCATTTAGTTTATTTATGGATTTAATAAAGTTGTATAAACATTTAGTATTATTTGGTTTGGTCTTCAAAATGCCTTTAAAATTTATGTTTGGGCGGGATTGCTTGAGTTTTATCTCTAGGATTGCAATTCATTTTTTTTTTTTTTTTTTTTTTTTTTTTTTTGTTAAATTCCGATTTATTAATTTTAATTATTTTGATTAAAAAAAAAACTTTTTTTTACGAATCAATGAACATTTAGTTGTAAAAGTTGTTTAAACGTGATTGTTAAATGTTGAAAAATATTTCATTACAATTTATTTAAATAGAGATCATATCTCTTTCTTAATAAGTCTTTATTTTTATTTTATTATTATTCTTATTTATATACATACTTACATATTTACATATATACTTACATACATACTTAATAATTTTTATTTCAGATTATATTTCTTTCCTAATAGGTTGACGTCAGTTTTCAATATCTTTGTCCAATTTTGATGTTGATATTTGAAACTGACAATGTTACGATGACTTGTAAAACTTAATTGGTTAATTTATTCCGTCAATAAATTTGCATTGACATTAGTGCTTATTAAACTTTGCAAAAGCTAGAGAAAATAATAGCTTCCGGTTCCCTGTTGATATGAGAAGTTTGTACAATCACACTTACTCATTACACAATCACACCCACTCATTACACTTTTAAGAATAAAAATCCACTAGCAGAGTCAGATTTTATTTCAATAAAATTACCAATACTTTCAACTATATTAAATTTCAACTACCTTTTTCAATATTTTAATATGTAGTAAAGTGAGTGATATCTAATTTTTCATTAAAAATTAGATATCACTCACTTTACTTATCGTTGTAAGAGATTACTAAAATAGCTTTTTTAACATGATAAAATAGAACTCATGGAGTAGTGGTTAGAGTTCTGAGTTCAGAATTGGAGGTTTGTGATTTAAGGCCGGTTCTGGCCATATATGCATCACTGGTAAAAAAAAAAAAACATAAACTTTCCGGGTAAATGTTTTTGTGCTGTGCTCTATGATAAGATCGTTAGAATTTTTTGGAGCAACTAAGGGTAAAAAAGAAACACAAAAAGGTTTTATTTAACGTTATTTTTTTTGTTTTTCCTTAAAAGTTCGGCCATCGAGACTTTTTAACAATGTTAAAAACAAGGGTAAATCTAACTTTAGGTTCTTATAAAAATATATTATAAAAAATAACCTTGTGCCACCATTGAGTATTATAAAAATTATATTTTAACAACTAGTTTATTATGAATAAAATTTTATTTTAACAATTAGTTTATTATTAATAAAGTTACTGATTGAAAAGATGTAAAAATTTATTAGTAAGACTTTTAGCTTAGTGTTAGCCTATCTTTTTAACTGTTTGCTATTTGTCTTTTATCTTTCATAACTTTGTTCTTCAAACACTCTTACTATAGTTGAACCCAATGATGTTAACAACAAGGCTCTTAAAGGATTTTGGTCTTTAATTATCTTTTATTAAGTTTCGATGGATAAGATATAACTCTGTAATCATTTTGGAGTATAAATTCCTCAATTAAACAAATAAAAAGTGCTATGTAACGTTAACCTAATGAAATGTGCACGACACTAACCTTGACCTAGTTAGCAGTTACACCTACAGTTTAACAGTAATATTGGCTTCATATAACGCTAATCTAGTGAAACATGCACAATGTTTAAGATTGCCAGATGAGCAGCCAATCATATGCTAACGCAATGCCAACATGCGGCTAATTATAACGCTTCGTTGGCCCAACAACAATAAATCCGTCGATCCAATTAAATTGTGCTAATTAGACATCAGTAATTATAAAATATATTAAATACTATTTAAGAAATTTCTTTTTAATTGTTGGTTAGACTAAATTCATTTCAATACTTATATCAAATCAAGTTAAAATTATTTTAAGAAGAGAAATTATTTTAATTATTTTTAACTGATTCATTGTTATAAATTTAAAGTGCCATTTTTGTATTTCAAAATAAAAAACTACGTTTGCAGAATATCTAGAAAATAATCATTTAAATTAATATTCTAGGTGAATAAATATAGAAATTATACCTGTAACTACTGTATTGTGGCATAGATTGTGTTGAAAGGTCACTTGCATCACTTCCATCAGATCCGACGCTACCTTGACGTTGTCGTGGCTGTGCGTTTTTCACTTCTAACAAATGACGAATGTCGTTCTTGTGTTTAAGTCTAAAAAATTCCATTTTTATTTACATAAAAACAAATTTTAAAAAGTTTGAAGTTCTCTCAAATAGCCGCGCATTGGAATAAATAATTAAACACTTATGCATTTTCATAAATTAACAAACACTTATGCAAATGCATAAATTAACAAGAGTTTGGATTAAACGCATTTGGATAATGTATAAGTTTGCGCAAATGCTTATTTAATAAAAAAATGTTTTTTGCAAAAAAAAATATCTACCTAAGATAATAAGGTATGTAAATCAAAAATAATATAATAAAAAAATATAAACTATTATAAGCTCCTAAAAACTAATAATTATTACGTCAACTTTAAATGAAGTACATGATGCGTAAAAGCACCAAGTTTTAAAAGGTGTGATTTCTTATTTATAATTAGATCTAAATAGAGAAAAGAAAACTCTACAAAATAAAAAAAATCTTGAAATCTTAATAAATAGCAGAGTAATAGAGTTTTAAGCAAACTTTTAGATAAAACATTCAGGAACATGTTTCTTAGAAAAACGCAAAAGAAAATTAGTAAATTTTATGAAACTAAAGTTATAAACTTTTACTCAAATTGAGGGAGGGGGAACGAGGTAAATTTTACAAGGTTGTGAAAATTAAACGCAAAGAGATTATTAAATAAAATTTGAGTTTTTCATTAAATTTTGTCTTTATCATTGATATAAACATACCAAAATTTTAAACCTTTTGATACTTTATAATTGCTGATTTTAAACATTTTTTCGATGCTTTAAAATTGCTAATTTCAAATAATTAATAAAAATATTAGAATTAAACTTATTTTCAGGGCCGTCCCCAGACCGTCCCGGGCCAGGCCCGTCTTATTTTGCTATATTTTACATTAAATATTCATTCAATCGATTTGAAAAAAATTAAATAAAACCTAAAATTTGAAAAAAAAAACAATTAAAAGCTGTCATGACCAAACTATAGCCAAGTGATAACTTGTGATAACAAGTGATAACAGGCTTTTTGACGAAAAATTAGATTAGACATCTCTGTCTTACGTCTTTAGTAAAAATGGATTAATCAAATCTACTTTGATCCTTAACTTATGATTGGTACTTATGATTGGTACTTATAACTGACACATACGATTGGTAGAAAACTTTCATTATAAGAAGTGAATCAAACATTTTTCACAAAGATATGACTCAGTTCTGAATTGTGCAAAACAAATTATATAGATTTTTTTTTTTTTCTGCAAGGTTGTTTAAAATTGTATGTCATAAACATAATATAAACCAACACAAGAACGACAAAAACTTATAAATAAGTCTGAAAAGTAAAAAAAAAAAAACTTTAAATAAATCTTAATATGTGCAGATTAATATTTAATGAACTAAACACGAGTTTAGTTCATTAAATACTATGAACTGCATTTAAAAGCCCACGAGTTCTTTGCACATAAATACTTTTACGTCGTTAGTTGAAACTGAATAGAAGCTACATTCTTCAAAATCCTCACTTTTCAAGATCAATTTATTGTTTTAAACTACAATATGCACCTAGATTTACGACTTTAAGTATGTTATTTGAAAGCGAGGCCGACTTTAAACGTAAGTATGTTTTTTGAAAGCGGAAGTAAATTAGTTTAAAAGTTTAAAAGTAGCTCTTTAAAAGTGATATTAAATTTTAATAATGTTGTGTGGGGCAAAAAAAATTGGACTGCTGGGATATTAATAAATGACGTAGTTTTAAAGTTACATAGATTAAGACAATGTAGGACTAATATTCTCATAAAAATAAATAAAAACGTTTCATGATTTGTGATCTTGCCTTCTCATAAAATTGCTTAACTTAAAAGTCGCACTCTACTTAATTAGATGGTCTGGGTTCACCAAATCTAATAAATAATATAATCTAATAAACCTTAACAGATGGTTTGGATCCGCCCTGTTTAAACCTATCAATGCAATCTTAAAATTACAGTAATTCATTATAAATTAACTCAAAACAAGAGCTTTAGTTCTTGTTTAAGAAAAAATTGATTTTAAAAACAAAACGATTGTTTTCTTATAGCAGGTATGGGGTAACTTGATACAGCATTTATATATATGTGTGTGTGTGTGTGTGTGTGTGTGTGTGTGTGTGTGTGTGTGTGTGTGTGTGTGTGTGTGTGTGTGTGTGTGTGTGTGTGTAGGAGGAGGAAAAGGGGGAGGCAAGGGGCGCAAAAACTGCAGAATTGTGTAATAAACAATCTTGAATAATGTTTCTTTTAAAATTTACAATCAAATTTTTAAAGATATATGTAAATATAAAACTAGAAGATCCGACTCCGATACAAAGCCATAACTTATTGATGTTTAAGAATGACAAGAAAACAATATAACATTTGCATTTCTGTAATGTAATTTGGACTGTCAAAAACATTATTTAAGTTACAATTATCATTTTGTCTGTCAAGTCAAATTAGAGCAGCAATGACATTGTTTACATTGTTTACATTTGTATACATTGTATACATAGTATACATTTGTATACATTGTATACATTTGTATACATTGTATACATTTGTATACATTTGTATACATTTTGCATACAATGTATACATTTGTATACATTGTATAAATTGTATACATTTGTATACATTTTGCATACAATGTATACATTTTGCATACATTGTATACATTTGTATACATTATATACATTTGTTTACATTTGTATACATTGTATACATTGTATTACATTGTATAAATTGTTTACATTGTATACATTGTTTACATGTGTACATTTTGATTACATGTATACATTTTGTTGTTTTTTTGTTGCTCTAATTTGACTCGACAATTTGAAGAAGAGGTGCTTTGTGTGTGGAATGGACAATCACCTGACCCAGTACTGCTATAAAAGGTGTACGAACTCAAAAAACGGGAAGGGAAGCCACCCGTTTTTGTACGAGCAGCTTCCCACAAAATTTAAAACCGCCAACTCTCCGCGTATATGTCAATGGAAGAAAAATAAAAGCATTGTTAGATACTGGATGCTCCAAATCAATTTTAAGTCGGGATATTGTAAACCCAAAAAATGTCAAACACGCATGCGAAAAGGTTGTTATGATGAATGGAAAGTCAATTGAAGTACAATACCAGACTGTTGTTAATCTTTCTATAAATGATACCACCATCGATTTGGAATGCCTGGTTGCCAACATTATTCCCGAATATCAAATGTTACTTGGTATGAATGCAATATGACTGCTCGGAGGTGTCCAAGTTGGGAGAGACGGTGAAACCATAAACTTTAATGTGGAGCAACTAACTATCGGCGCTACTGCAGTCTCTCAAGGAAAAACGAATGAAGTATCCACGCCTACTGTTCAAAAGCTGATTGATAAAGACTTTGTAGCAGAATTCAAAAATGGCAGCTGGAGCGTGTCTCGGAAATGGCTGATGGAACCACCAACTTTAACAAACAAAATTCCAAACTATCACATCTCTGAAGACGTTAAAAGTAAGTACGCAACGGAATTAAGTGAATGGATAGCATAGGGATGGCTGAAACCGTTTGAAGGGAAATGTAATGGCACCATTTCGTTGATGGCAGAAATTTAACGAAACAAATTAAAAGTACGTCCGGTGATGGACTACCGGGAGCTGAATCAATTTGTATCCAGTCATACTGCAGATGGCGATGTTTGCAGTACCAAACTTCGCAACTGGAGAAAGTTGGGAGAAAATCTTGAGATTATCGATTTAAAAAAAGCGTACCTGCAGATTCGTGTTGACGAAGCATTATGGAAATATTAAGTTGTGGATTTTTGGATATTAAGGGCAGCGATATTGTCTAACAAGATTGGGTTTTGGTTTAAATGTGGCGCCCAGAATAATGACAAAAATCTTAAAAAAGGTTTTATCCTTAGACAAAGTTGTCGAGTCTGGGACGGATTCATTTATTGATGACATCATTGTCAATAATAACATAGTGTCAAGTTGTAGAGTTCAAGAACTCTTGAAAAAATATGGCTTGGATTCTAAGCTGCCAGAAAAACTTGTCGGTGGGCGTGTGCTTGGATTGCGAGTGTACAAACAAAACAACCAAGTGCGTTGGAAACGTGACAACATACCCAAAGTTCCTGAAGGAAAAATGACGCGTCTGCAAATCTTTTCTTGGTGTGGACAGCTGACTGGACATTTTCCAATAGCAAATTGGTTGCGCCCTTCGTGCAGCTATTTAAAAAGGGTTTCGAGTAGTTGTGGATAGGACACTTTGGTGAACGATCGTGTTGTCAAATTAGTAAGCAGTTTTAATGAAAGACTTACAAAGGAAGATCCCATTCATGAGTCATGGAACGTAAAAAACACTTCTGAAGCAACAGTGTGGTGCGATGCAAGCAGTTTAGCTGTTGGCATAGTTCTGGAAGTGGCTGGGGAAATAGTAGAAGACTGCTAGTGGCTGAGAAAACAAGATGATGCGGCTCACATTAATCTCGCAGAGTTAGAAGTTGTGATAAAAGGAATCCATCTAGCAACAAAATGGGGATTCGAATGTATTACCATAAATTGTGACTCGGCTACTGTTGTTGGCTGGTTTAAATCCTTAATCATCGGTGACGAACCCATTCGAGTACCCGGTCTTGGAGAACCACTTGTCCGTCGCCGGTTGTCGTTAATTGAAGACCTTGTGAAGGAGTGTGGTATACAGTTAAAACTTTTCCTGGTTAAGTCAGCAGAAAATAAAGCCGATGCTCTTACGAGGGTACCACAGAATTGGCTGCATTCAAACCATTCTGCAATGACAGCTAATCTTGTACCGCCTGATGTGAAGTCATTTCATAATCTTCATCACTTTGGAGTAAATCGAACCCTTTATTTGATGAAACAGACATATCCGAAGGAGAAAGTTTGTAGAAAAGACATTGAATCAGTCGTAAAAAGTTGCGAAAGATGTTTATCGGTAGATCCTGCTCCAATCAAGACCTTTCGCTCAAAACTCGTTGGTGAATTATGCGCAGAATGGGGAGTGTCCATCCTGTTTCGTTGCGCTTACAGGCCATCTGGAAATGGAATTGCTGAACGTCACCATCGCACAATCAAGCGCATGGCAGCAAGAAGTGGCAAAGATCCGTTAAAAATTGTATATTGGTATAACGTAGCTCCCAGAAAAAATGGCGAGAAAACATCGCTCCCACACACACACAATTTTTGACAAAACTAACGAGGAAGTTCTCCACAACTACACACAAGGACAAGAAGTATTTGTAAAACCACCTGATTCAAAATGTACAAGCGAATGGAATAGAGGAAGAGCCTCAGATAAAGGACGAGGAGTTTTGGTAGAAATCAATGGATTACCGAAACACATGTCGGACGTCCGTCCAGCTCCCATTGTAGCTGACTTGTCTACGAGAGAACCGGAAGAACCCACTGCGAACAACTTGAATCTCAGAAGATCGACGCGAGTGCGGAAGTTTCCGAATAAGTATGCGGACTTTGTGATCTAGAGATCAAGGAGTGTTGTAATTAGTGTAAATAATTGTATTGTATATAAACTATTAACGTGTTGCGTAAGAAGGAATGTTGTGGGCGCGTCGTATATATTATATTGTACATAACGTTTATACTGTCTATTATACTCTCGGGGGTATTTTGCAAATGTATAAATATTGAGTAGAGATATTCAGAAGACAGTAAGAAAAAACAATTATATTTTATTATTACAGTATGCTGTTATGTTATTAATCTTATAGCATACTGGCTAACTTAGGTAACTAAGAACTAAAAGGTACATGAATTATACACAAAACTTAACTAAAATTGTAAATGCCTTTTAATAATAAATTGAATTATTCAAAAAAAAAATATTTTTTCTAATCTTTATATAACTTTATTTGTTTTCTTTTATTTTTAACAAATTTATTAGCCTTATTTAGTTATTTTTTATCGTAGTTTGATAAAGCCATGTAAAATCTATATTGGTTTCACCGTTAGGAACTTAAATCGCCGCCATCTTGGTAGGCCAATTTTGGCTTCAACTTTTTTATTTTGAGATCAGTGATATAAGCCGAAATATCACTATTAAATAATAAAAATAATATATAACCGAACATGATGTTTTATCATTTATATATATATATATATATATATATATATATATATATATATATATATAAATATAGCATATATATCAAGTTTAACATATATATTAAATTTAAAAGAACAAATTTAGAAAATTCGCAAATTGGGCGTAGCATATAAATTAAATTTAATAGAGTCGATATTGTCAATCGAACTTGCCGTGGCTAATTGTATTAACTATAATAGCATCATCGATGACTTTGCTTCTTTGAAAGCAAGAAAAATTGACTTTAGCTAAACTATTTTTTCAACTATTTAACTATTCGAAATTAAACTTTAAAAATCGATTCTATTAAAATACATTGTTTTAAAAGTTAACCTTATAGAATAACGTAAACTACTACTTGTGAAAGTTATAATTAATGCAAATTGTTAGTAAATAATGTATGCCTTTATTTATAAGTATAAATCATTAAGTTAATTACGAGTAGAATTTTTTTTTTTTAATAAGACTAAATAAAATTAAAAAAAAGTTAGCCGCGACGTTGAGGTTAAATTTCGGGCTTCATAAACCCAGGCGTGGTTTGAAGTCGGGTCTGGACTTATTTACGCATTATTGGAAGGAATGAGGCGTGAACTCCTTGGTTAAATGTTATTCCACGGTGCTATGTGATAAGACTTTTAGGTCTTTTTAGAACTCCTAAATAACTAATAAAATTATAATGGCTAATTATTGGTAAATATAATAAAGGTAGTCTTCTTTGTTTAATACTAAAACATCTGAATGAATATTGATTATTATATTGGTATTTTTAATTTTTCTAAGCCTAATCATCATATTCTCATTTGATGGTTGATAACACGGTGTCGAGATCGGCATTAAAATCAATGTTATTTTCATCACTATTTACAATAAAATAATATATTTAGGTGAATTTTGTTTACCAAAAAAAGATTAATTATCATGAAGTAATTAGTCACCATGACAATAATCATATCGGTTATTATGAAAAGGTTGATCATCATGAAGAGATTTTTACCATTAAAAAAAAGTCGTCATATAGATATTGGTCACCATTAAAAAATTGGTAATTATAAAGTGATTTCCTTTGATATTTTTTAACTATTTAGTTTATTTTTAAACTAAAAACTATTTAGTTTATACTTCAATAGTTTTCTTCGAATAAGTTCTTAAATAGTTTATTATTCTTCAATAATAATATCTTTTAAAAAGTTTACCAGAAGTAAACACAATTTAAACAAATCACTTAGCTTGTCAGCTGTCACTAGTAGCTTTAAGGATTTCAAAAATTACATTTTTTTTAATTTGAAAATATATATCATTTCCAATTAATTTCTTTTTTGAAGAATGAAAAATAAATATTAGATATAAAATAGGAATAATACCTCTTCATCTCAGATCAGCTAAACTATAACAAAGTTTGATAAATCTCACTTTATCTCCTTGCATCAACTAAACTAAAAAGAAAAAAATTTAAATATCTAAATGTTTCAGAATATTTGAAGATCAAAGTTAATCAATACTTAAAGTTATTTTTGATATACGTTGTAATTTGTTTTTTCAAAAAACAAGGAAAGTAAATATATTGTTTATTAGGTTGCTAATGTTGGAATGTCTATTAACGTAAAGTTAAAAAATTAATGATTTCTTGTAATAAATTTAAAAAAATTTGACTACTTTCCTGGTTACAAGTTGTTTGTGAAGATATAATTCATAAAAACGTACGTTTTCAATATATAATGGCTATAAAGCTTTTCGGGCTTTTTTTTTTTTTTTTTTTTTTTTTTTTTTTGATTTTTCTAAAAATTGATGAAACTTGGGTAGAATAAAAATGGAAAGAAGGAAGGAAAAAAGCAAAAGCGGCTTTACATTTTCAAGATTTGTATTTGATAGACTGTATTAGTAATTTTCAATGTCATTCTGTGCCTGTGACTTTTGAAAGTCATAAGTTTAAAGAACTTGAATAAGAATCATAAAAAAGAAATTTTTTATTCAATTAAAAAAATATTTATTTAAAAAAAATTATTTACCTTAACCCTAGTTAAGGTAAATAATTTGGTCACTGAAGGCGTTTTGGGATGATGTTTATGTTCCTGTTTACCAATCGGCGTTTTTTATTTGAAAAGTATTATCATTTTAATAAATATTAGCGCATAGAAGCTGCAATTTTCCCCATATCACTTTAAACTATATGGAATGCCAAAAAAGTTCTGCCTCCACTTACATACAATCACATCACATACATATGACAACCGCAAATACAGTCACAAAACACATATATAAATCACAAAAAACATACATAAATCACAAAATAGTTATTCCGACATATGAAATACCACAATTAGTAATTTAAATATTATAATATGCTTCCAAAAAGATGTTATAAACTAAATATATTTTTAATAAAAAAATATTTAGTTTATAACCTAATTTCTCACCTTAATGAACGTTTTTTCCATTTTCAACAGTCACTTTTTTCGTATTTTTTATTTTTAAAAGCTTTTATGCAATGCTTTAAGTTTTTATTCAAATAAAACTTATCACTAATTGCCGACATGGACACATATTCTTGTCTTCTTTGAAAACCTAATAAGATATGTCACGAGGAGAAAGAAAGCTCTGCACAAATTCATCCTTACATTAAAAGTTAAATGAACCTCAAGTGACAAATACACTGGGATAATGACAATTATGACAATCGAAATTCATAAACAAATGAAAAAAATATTTTTTGACAAAAATTTATGTATATCAACTTATATATTTTAAATCAAGGATATAAATTACCGTATCAACATGTATATGATAACCTAAACCAAACTTAGATTGAAAAAGCTTGGAAATAAAAAGGATCGTTAATTGCAGTGCTTCAAAATTGAAAGCTCTAGTCTCACCTGGATTCATAAACATGGTTTAAACAAAACAACTTTTCTAAAAGCTGGGAAAAAAAATATTGAAAAAGTACGAGTTGGACCCATATTTGAAAAACAAAGAACAAAGAAACCTAAATACCTTACAATCTAACAATCAAAATAGAAAGATTATATAACATTAGTGTAATATAACATTAGTGGCTAGAAGAAGTATACTTAATGTTTATTCACGAGAACTATATATATATATAATATATATATATATATATATATATATATATATATATATATATATATATATATATATATATATATATATATATATATATATATATGTACATATATATATATATATATATATATATATATATATATATAAATGTATATATATATATATATATTATATATACTCATATAGTGTCGCTTTAAGAGCATTTTAATGTAAAAAAAGTCTCTTACGACTACAATTTTAATTACCTCGTCTCTTAAGCTGTTTTTGATTGTCATCGAAATGTCAAAGCAATTAATTTATGCGGAAGTACATTAAATTTAATTGTTTTTTAAAAAATTTTTAAAAAACCGCAATTATAACGACTAGAAAGTTTTTTTTAATTAGTGGTGTTTTTGTTATTGATTTAATAAAAAACATTTTTTAAACATGCGTAAATGTTGCTACATCGACTATCTTATAGCCTGACTCGCAACGGAGTGCTGCTACATCGACTGACAAATAGCCTGACTCGCAACGGAGTGCTGCTACATCGACTGACAAATAGCCTGACTCGCAACGGAGTGCTGCTACATCGACTGACAAATAGCCTGACTCGCAAGGAAATGCTGCTACATCGACTGACAAATAGCCTGACTCGCAACGGAGTGCTGCTACAACGACTGACAAATAGCCTGACTCGCAAGAGAGTGCTGCTACATCGACTGAGGGTTTGGTTTGGCCAGGCAGTCTATCAATTGAAAAAAAAAATTTAATTTTAAAAACTTTTTCTGGTCTGGTTTATTAACGCTCTCTTTAAAACTACAGTTTATGGGAAATATTTTTTGATGCTACGCAAGAGACATGCAAGACTATATATATATATATATATATATATATATATATATATATATATATATATATATATATATATATATATATATATATATATATATATATATATATATATATATATATATATATATATATATATATATATATATATATATATATATATATATATATATATATATATATATATATATACATATCAAAAATAGCTGTTGAAAAAATAGCTGTTGAAAAAATTAACAAGAATTGCCAGGACCAAAGTTTACCCTGCAAGTGACAGGGTAAAAAAGTAAATTTAAGAATTTGTATTGAGACATGTATAATCCGTCAATCTTTATATTTTTGTTTCTTTTTTAAAAAATGTTTTTTTAAAAAAGTCTACTGTAAAAACTATGCTCTACAGAGAATGCAAAATTGCCGCATTTATACAATATCTACACTGAAGTTATATTAAATCAAGTTGTTTCAAATTGCGAAGTTGGAGCAACAGTGAGTGACACATGGCATTATTGCTTTTGTAGACGATAAAATCCTAAAAAGTCCTACTTATTCTGGCCTAAAAACTGAAAAAACTGAGTCCATTATCTCCGGTAAAAGTTAAGTTGTTTAATTATTTAATTTTTTTTGTTTTTGTTTTTTGCCATATTTATATTTATTCAAGCCATAAAACAAGATAGAAATACAAATAGCAGTGGCAAGTGAAAGACACACTTTGTCTAATCACCAAGCCCCTTAATCTGTAATAATATATATAAAATAACAAAAATTGAAAAAACCGTAATATTAAACAATATAAAACGTTTTAATAAAGACTTTAAAATAAAGATGATCCTAATATCCTACTTTAACTTTCTTTTTTTGTATTGGCTAAGAAAAATTTTAAATACAAAGATAAAATATTTAGTATAATATAAACTATACTGGTAAATACGCATAATCCTGATGTTTTCCTTTTAAACTAGCATATACCTTGAAATATTTGAAGAATTTTTAGCAATCATAAAATTTTATAAAAAAAAGAGTATAAGCAATAACAAGTGACATGATTCTTTCTAAGATCGTCAAGCTGTTAATGATAAACCTTTAATCGTCGGGAAAGTTTATCAGTAGCAACCAATAAGCGTCGTTCATCAATAGTTTTTGTCTATTTGGTCTTATATTTTATTCCATAATTTTGGTAAAAAACTTTTTTTACAAAAATAAACTCCCCTCCCCGACCATATTTGACGCAACTATTAAGATTTTTAAGCCTTCTTTCCTCGTCAACCTTTTTTACATCATAAAGCAAGTTTTCAACAACTTTGAAAAAATGTTTTCAAAAAAATTAATTTTGGCGTAATTATTAGCTATTCCTGATCACTGTGCTCTGGTAGAAATTTACCGCAAAACAACATTTAGATTGAATCCCGGTGGGAAATGAGCTAGCGACTAGCTAGCTTTATACCGATTTTCAAGCAATTTTTTTTTTTAATTTTATTCTTTACTAATGTCTTTAAAAATTCGATTTTTAGTGTTAAGTCTATTATAATTATGAGAATAATCGAACTTTAAACATTGCGATTTTGTAGCAATGTGTCGCTAGCAACATATCGTAGCTTTGTAGCTAGCTACAAAATATCTACAAATCTATAGCTGGTTGATAGCTACATACCAAAATTTTTTTGATAGCGATTTTATTACGATATGACGCTAGCTACAATAGCCTGTTAGTCTTTAGCTTATTATGCTAGCTGTCCTCGTAGCCAAATCGCTGTCTTTATCTTTACAAATATTGATAGCTTTTCGCTAACTTACAAAAAGCTAGCGATCCTTGTGGCCTGATCGCTGTCTTTATCGTAACGATTATAGCTAGCTATTCGCAAGCCGATTTCCCACCGGGATGTAACTGTTATTTGAAAATCTGATAAAATAATTGTTCTGATTTATTTGAATAGTGGGTAAAATATTTTAAGAGATTTATATTACTTTTGAACATAAATATAAGAAGATGACAGATATTTATTTGATAGACATTCGTTATATTTTTTATTACATTATATTACGTCTTCTATCAACGAGAATAAGTTATTATTTATGCTTACACATTGTATCTTTTAATCGCTTGATTGGTGAATAAAATTTTTGTTAGCAGCATTAAATTTTATGCCAAAAAAATCCATGAAAGCTGGTATTGTACAGCTTCATATATTTTTTTTTGGATAAATTATTTTTTTTTTTTATAAAATTATCAACATAACTTAGTAAAAATATAAAAAATTTAACTTTATCTACACTTAGTAATTAAGTTTGTGTATTCAATGAACCATTACAATTTAATTGTAATAGTAAAAGTAATAACTTATTGCTGCTATTGAAATATCTTTCACATTTTGTATCATTAAAAAAATATATATATTTACCGCAAAAGAATACAAAGCCTTAAAAAACAGGCTTTTTGCATTCGAAGCTAAATTAATCCAAGATGTTTCCAATCTCCAAGTTCGAGTCTAGATCCTAGAAACCAACCTCACAGCAAAGGATGCTA